TTTTAATAATGTAAAATTAATTTAGTAACAAACTTACTAAATTCTTTTTAAATTTTGCACTTAAAACCAATAACAACCCTTTTAAAAAAAAAATACCGCGCTCTTTTGTATACCATAGAACAGTTGTAAAATTTTCCATTATTTTTAAATGCATAAATAAATTTTATAATCCGAATCATTACAATCTAAAATTAAAAAAGTCCACCATTTTATAGAAATTGATATTTTAATAACACAAGTACCAACCATTATTCTGATAAAATTATATTTAAATCCTTTCATTATGAGAAATTATATTAAAATAAATGCAAAATTTTCGGAAATCAACAAAATTTTATGACTATACTAGGTATGTTGTTTTTTCTATGAGTACTTAAAAAAACCAAATGATATGAAATCAATTTTAATTTTGATAGCCAATATTGCGGTACATGGTGTTGAACAGACCAAGAAAAAAATCCCAAGAAAAAAATTTTTCGAAATTATAAATTTATGCAAGACGATAAATTTTTTGAAAAGGATTAAAAAGCAATTTTTCCTATTAAAATTTTCTTTTTTCTCTCTCTTATAAATTAATGTTATTTTTTGTATAATTTTTGTTATTATTTTCTTCGAAAAGATCAAAATCTTAATTAATATTTTCTAATAATTCAAAAATAAAAGGGATTTAATAAATTCCAATTTAAGTATAGTGCTCTCACATACACACATACGCAAATAGTCAGCCATATACATACACAACCATATTTTTTTAAACGAAATAGAAAAATTCTTTTGTTTTATTTCTTCTGTTTTTTTTTCAAAATTTGCATGAGGATTTTTTCTTTATATTTTAAAGAATGGAACTTATAAAGTCAGAATAAAAAAATTTTTAAGTTATACACACATAATAATATATGCAAATTATAACAGTCATCACCCGCATTATCAAATTATTAACAACATTATAAAATGAAAGGATTTTGTGTTTTTTTTGCTTTCTTTGTATATCTTTTGAGTTTTTTGCGTTCTCTTTATCCTTAAATATAGTATTTAGTGTGCTCATCATTATTGCCAGCCATTTTTAAAGAATTTCCTCCATTATTATTGCTATTTATACCCGTACGAACGTATGTTCGAAGGGTATACTAAATTTGCCTTACCGTTTGTAACGCTAAGAAATAACGGTGTTAGATATAGACTCAAGTGTATGTTTTTGATCAGCGTCAAATTCTGAGTTGATTTAGCTTTGTCTGTCCGTCCGTCCATCCGTCCGTCCGTCCGTCCGTCCGTCCGAACGATAACTCAAAAACTAATTGAGCTAAGTTTACTAAATTTTCACAAATGATTTATTGTAGTAAGTGCCAGAACCCTATTTAAATTGGACATGATCGGGGTACCGGTTCGGTTAGCTGCCATACGACTACAAAATTTATTTGGCTATATCTCAGAAACTATAAAAGCTGTGATATTGAGATTTCACACAAGTGAATATATTAGTAGGGCCGATGTGCTTGATAAAATTCGCTAAAATTTCTTGGCTCTTCTTGGTAGCTGCCATACAACTTCAATAGTAGTTTGGCAAAACCGGAATTTGGAAAAACACATAGTACTGAAATTTTGCATAAATTAATATGGTAATACGTCAACTTTAAGTCATAGTCTACCCCATATTTAGTTATGGCACATTAGTTATTCGCACATAGGATAACAAATTCGTACGGGTATCACAGAGTTGACAAGGTCAACTCTATTTTTTTCTCGTTTTATTCTTTAGTAGGTATATACAGATAAGCGAGAGTGTCGTCAACCATTTAAAAACAGGAAAACAAAAAAACGAACTAAATAAAATCAAATACTCGTATATGAGAAAAGGACTAAAACTTTTTATATTGTTATTGGTGTTATTGTTACGTTATGAATATTAAAAATTATTTTCGTAAAAAAAAAAAAACAAGGAACAATTAATATTGTTTTTGTTGTTCAGTTTTTTCTCATTTTTTTTTTATTTTTTGCATAATAATAATTCGTTAAGTTCTTAATTTTTCTATTCCTATACATTTATTCCAATATTTTTTTTTTGAAAGTGACGAATATTAAAATAAAAAAAAAACCATAATATAATTATGAATTCATCGTTAACAAAGTTAAGAATAGGAAACTTAGGTGACAAGAAATTGAAAAAAAAGGAGCTATTGTTTAAAGAACGAAGTGACTTTGGAAATTTCCCGTGAAAAATTATTCAGCTTTACAAATTAAAAACTGTATTCTAAATAACAATTTTAAAACGCGGTAGAATTTCAAAAGCTCTGAGCTCAGCTTACATTTTAGTTGCCTGAACCGAATTATTATATAAAGAAAATTATTGCAATTTAGGACTAAAATACTTTATCCCGCTAAAAAGACCGTTTTTTCAAAAAGCTTGACGAAATGCTATGAATGTCTATGACAATTTCCTTATGATTTTCTTTTTCTAAGTGGAAAATAAAATTTTTAATATCAGAATTTAAAAAAAAAATTTACTTAAAAATATTTCATACCCTAACTTTTAAATAGAAATATTTCTATATATGCCCGCATTTTTTGTGTTTCTTTACAAAAGAAAGAGAGAAAATAATTTAGACCCCATATTTACTCACAAAATCACACACAAAACAAAAAATAAAATTAAAATAAAGTAAAAAAAAAATTGAGAATTTTTTTTTTTCAACCCTTTTCTTTTTAATTTTTTTCTTCTTCTTCTTTTTTTAGCATATTATAATTTTCCTACTTTTTTTTTACAGTTTGTTTTTAAAATATAATATTTTTCATAGCAGGGATTAAAGGACACCATTTGAAAAACAGTGAAGCCACATAAAATTTTTATGCGAATGAAAATTTTTCATAATTAGAGAATGACAGCTAAGAATTAACTTATCAGAGAGAAAAAAAAAACACAAAAATGAAAAGAGAGAGGAAAAAAGAACAAAAGCCTTTCAAGTTTTTCACATTTTATTTTCTATTTTTCGTTTTCGTTTTAATTTTAATTTTTTTTTTGCCGTTGTCTTTTTTCTAATTTCTTAATTCTAGAATCCTTGGAACCGGAAAATTCTTTTTTGTGGGTATTTTAAGACACATAACACTTTCACATATACATTAAATGTTTGCATACGCCCATATGTGTATGAATGTTTGTGAATTCTGTGCGACTTTGTATATCAAGTGAATGAATATTAATAAAACGTTTGTAATGTATGTGTATGCAATTTTTTTTTTCTTTTTTGTTATTCAATAGGGAAATTATTGTTAAAAATATACGTCTTGTATGTATACTTGTAATTATATGAAATTAGTTTAAAAAAAAAAATTTGAGGCAATATATTCCAGAAATTGTCACTCGTTTATAATACGCTCATAGCGCATATAAGTAAAATATTATTTTCGATTGATTCAATCTGCCGTAAGAACTTAATTTAAGTGTTAAGATTGTCTATTTTATTAAATTGTTACTTTAATTAAATTGTTGACTGACACTTTGAACTGACAAATAGCTATTCAAAAATTGCCTTGCCGGCCACTCTTGGAATAGTATATATTTTCATTATTTTGAGAGACTGGCAGTCATTATAGATAAATCAAGAAAAACTGTGACGCTGAAATGGGATTTTTCTGATTTTTGGATAAATTTTAAAAAGGTACTTGTAATTTTTTTTATAGTACGATGTCGGGAACTACAAAAAATCATTGCGGTAGTGAGAAACATTTTAATAATTTTATTTATGGCCGTTTTTAAAAGCAATGTGTCAGGCCTTTTTGACTGACCTGGTAGTTTTACTAAAAATTACAAGTATTTCAATATATTCAGAAATAAAATTGTTTTGTCATTAACCAATCAGCTCTACTCTGACATATACATATTAACTACTACCAAAAATAATATGTTTATTTAATAATAAGTTATCAAATGATGTTTTAACAGAAAATAATGTTCTACGTCTGATTCTCTTCAAATTTAACCGTCCCTAAGAAGTTACCATTTAGTTAGTTATTCGTGTGGCACCTTCAATTGTTAGAATAACTTAATTTTTTATTTAATGTACAGTATTCTTGCCGATCCGTCTCATTCTCTCTTGCCTATTTAAGCCCTTTCTCACAATCGAATGATTTTTTATTCAAAATTTTAATGCTTTTTCTTGAATATATTTTACATATTTAATTAAAATACTTATATACTTTATTCTCTTCATATTATGAAAATCATTTCGCCACCTCTTTCCATCCCTTCTGCGTATAAAATTAAGTTTTTTTTCAAATTCTCCTTCTTATTTCTCTCTTTAGCATAAAATTAATTTTTTTTCCTTTTTTTTTTAAATTTCATGATTTCAATATGTGTGCTTTGTGATTTTCCATTGGGAAAATATTAATTTGAAATGAATTAATCAAAAAATTAAATATATGAAAGAAATGATAAGTAAAAGAGACAGAATATTAAATTTAAAAGCTTTTTTTGTATATTTTATATTTACGCATACATGACTATGTGATACACATATGTTCTACTTTATATACACATGAACGATGTGTGTAGATATACGAGAATGAAATATAAATATTTGTATATGCCAAGTGTGTTTGGAGATGTCATACGAAATTAAAATGATTAACTCGTTTTTCCTTCAAAAAAAAAAAATATTGAAATTTTATTATTTTTTTTTTAAGAAAATATTTTTGAAACGGAAATTAATTTTATCGTATTGGGAGAAAATTAAAAGTTCTTGGGACTTACATCCGCATTTTTCATTTTAATTTACTTTAACCTTGGCAAAAAAAGTATTCCCTTCAGTTTTCATTTATTTAGTTATCTATGAATATAGCAAAAAAATTTTTTTGTATTCTTTTCGTCCTTGAAAACAAAATCAAAACACACTTACGAGTATAAATAAAAAATTTTTAATTGAAGAATGATTTTATTTTCATTTTAAAAATTAATTAAATTACTCTTCCTTATTTTTTAATTAAATTATTTAAATTTCTCATTACAGCTATTAGCTCTATGAAACCAAATTTGGATTCATCAAATTGTATCCTAGTCCAAGATGTTAAATCAATACCACATGATCAACAACAACAATTATCTGGTGTTGGTGGATCAACAATATTACCAACAGAAGATTCAACACAAACAAGTAGCAGTACATCAGATCAAAGTAGTAGTAGTACATTTACTACTGGTATTGGTAATGGTCCTGGTGGTATTTCTGTTGGTGGCGTTAGTGGTGGTTATGGTTATTTAGGTGGTAATACTGGTAATTCGATTAATTCAAATAATATAAATAGTCATCAAAATTTAAATGGTATACAAAATATATTACCACAACAACAACAACAGCAACAACAACAATTACAACAACATATTATATCTGCAAATGGTAATAGTTTACAAAATTTAAATCAACAAAATGGTGTTGGTGGTAATCAAGCATTATTATCACAACATCAACCACAATTATTACATCCACAAGATCAATCATATACAGCACAACAACAGCAATTAAAATGGCCACAACTTGTACAATTAAAGGATTTAAATGAAATGTATCATGCAACAATCCCTCCATATCAATTTTGGAATTTAGAATTTCGTAATAAACATCAAACTTTTATACGATTAAATTTTACATTACCATGGGGTGCCAGTTTTGCTGTTTATGGTCGACGTAATGTTGCACCAAGTGTTACACAATATGATTTTGTTGAATTTATTAAAGCTGGCCGTCTTGATAGAAGCTTAAAACGTAAAAGAAGACGTAGCCGACGTAGTATTATTATTAATTCAGATAATGCACATACTATTAATACCAATGATAATGATGATAATGATATTGATAATTTCAATTATAATAGAAATTATAACAACAATAATGATAATAGAAATATATTAAATGAAGGAGCTGTCGGTGGACGAAGTTCAATGCCTTTAAGTGAATATGAAGCAAAATTTTTTGATATTTTATCTGATGATTTAAAAACATTAAGAAATGATAATAATAATAATAGAAATAGAAATAAGAATAAAAATTATAATGCAAAATATCATTATCATACTAGCGATAGTAACAGCAACAGTAACAGTAATAAGAAAAATAGAAATTCCAGTGAACATATGTCACCGCCACCACCATCACTATATAGACCATCATTTATGGTTAATCAAAAGAATAAAATTTCAGACAAAACAATTTTCAAATCAAATTTGGATGATGAAAATGATAGCGATGATATTACAACAACATTTGAAGATATAAATGATGATATATTGGACGATGATGATGATGACGATGACGATGATATTGATGAAAGTGATGATGATGAAATTGATAATATCAATGATGAAGATGATATTGATGATTTTAATTTACATGATATTGATGATGATAGCAATGATAGTGAAACAAATAGCAATGAAAATAATTTAAATAGACGAAGACGAAAAATGTCAGTGTCTTCGAAAAGAAAAATGCATAAAATTACAAAAAGATCATCTGATGGTTTATCAGCATTAGATATGGATACAATGATGGTTAACGTATCATTATTACAATATTTAGATACAGGACTTTGGTTTTTATCTGTATATAATGATGAATTAGTTGCGCATACAGTAACCTTACTGGTTGAGGAAGCTGAAGGTGTCAGTACAACATGTCCAAATGATTGTTCTGGTCGCGGTAGTTGTTATTTGGGAAAATGTGATTGTATTGATGGTTATCAAGGAGCTGATTGTTCAAAGAGTGAGTTTTTAAAAGCAAAAAATTATTTTTTAAATTAAATTTTTAATTAAAAAAATTCCACATAAATCAACAGGAAAGCATATATATACATATATATAAAAAAGTTTAGGGTATCAGAATGTAAATAAGGGAAAAATTTGTACTCTATAAAGATATTAAAGATGTAAATATGCTTAGATAAAATTGTTTTACCAACTATAGTGAGTTAGACGGTTAATAACCTTTCAAACAAAGTTTTTATTAAAATATTCCTTTATTTTTATGTGCTCCAGTGCTTTTGAAGGAAGTAATTTCCAATTTGTTTTAGAGGGATTTGTAGATTTTCACAAATCTTTCAATTTTAGTAATTGCTCTTAAATTAGAACTGTCCTACACGATATAATATAATTATTTAATTTTCATCAAAAATTTAGAAGACAAGGAAAAAGTTTCGGATTGGTAGAAATAATACCTGTTAATTGAATATTTATTTTGACTCCGTGAAGATTAAAAAATTTTTAAATTCTAAATATTATGTCGAGTGAAATAGCCTCAACTTACAGTATTCAAAAATGGTTGACTAACGTTTTACTATCTTGAATATTTTGCATTATTTAAAACCATGGAATCTTATTGCAATATAATTGCAAGAACACTTTTCCTTCCCTTTCTTATACATAAAATTATAAAATATTAACATACTTAATATTAATTGAAAATATTTTGTTAATATGTGTAATATGAAATTGTTTTGGTGTTTACGACCGAATAAATTCCAATACATATACAATATCAATAGCTAAACTGCAAGCACTTCAAATAATAATTCCCTTGTTTTAAAAGAAAAGACAAACCACCTACACATATTTCAAGTAAGTCATTTAATGTCACCACTTTTTAATTATTATTTTGTATAAGAATTTCTTACCTCCATACAAATTTTGTTTTCTATAAATTTTTAAACACTCGTTTAGACGTTTATCTTCTATAAAACAAGCATATACATACAAACCGTTTCAAGTTATTTGCGAACGACAATCAACAATTAAAAAATCGATATGGAAAACAATGTACCATGTACTTAAATACCTTCATAAACAAATCTTCTCAATGTTCTTCCATATAGCATATTTCAACCCTATCTTTATAAACAACGCAACAAATTCTTGCTGCTAAATTAAAACATTTATTATGGAGCAGAGAAAAATAAAAAGGGAAAACAAAAATGAGAAATAAGACTCTCATCAGACTGAGCATCGCATACATAGAATTCTTCAATCGACTCTTAAATTGTAAGGAAAACAATTTTTTGAATTATTTCAAAGTGATGAATTTTTTAAAAGTATATATCAACAAACATAAATAACATATGAAACAACATCAATAGCAATTTTATAAATTAAATGACTGTATACAATGCGGGGGTAAACATTCTAAATGAATCTACATACAGATATGATTCCATATTATTTCTTAACATTTTATATTACATAAATATTATAATGGTATCTTTTATACTTTTAATATTATATATATATATATATAAAGCAATCATCGTAGCATAATATGCATAACGCTATCACTCACTTATACAACATGGTATTTGCTTATTTCAAGAAGCCTCGAATACGTTTTTATCGTAATATTTTTGATCATTCAATTCAACTCAATTCAAGGATACTTTCTCTTTTGTATATATGTTTTATATATAAAACTATATACATCCATTATGTTTTCAAATTCTTTTGTTTTGATAATATTATTTATGTGAGTGGTTTAATTATATACATATATGAATACCATTATGCATTCAGTATATTTAAAATAGCATGTAATGCGTCCTTGCTCCTTGTAAAATTAAATGAATATTACATTAAAGTTATACAGTCATTTTTCAAAATAAAAATTTTCTGTAATACTGTGTATACCTTTTAAAATGGGTGATACAGTGAAAGTGTACATTCATGCTTGAAGCCTATTAGATACTTGCACGATTAACAGATAATATTTACTTTAATTTTAAAAGCCGTCTCGTTCTTTACTTTTTTTTAAATATCCTTGAAAGAGAAGACTATCTTCAGATTATTTTATATTGTATAATTTTCTATCTTTTTGTTTTAACAAAAGTAAACCAATGAAATAATTTTGATGCAATTGTTCTTTTAATTTTATATACAACAATTACTTAAAAATATTTGATAATAAATGTTATAACAATAGCTTAAATTCATCTTGAGATTTTGTATAACAAAAATAGATTAAAGTTGTCTACAATATGATGTTGTTGTGTAGAGATAAAAGTATAAAAGTGAAATTCTGCCACATGTTATGGTATTCTCTGAAAGATAACGCTCTTTTAGATGATTTGATCAATTTTAATGTTCATATAACTTCTTATCTTTATATTCATGATGTGTGTCTGTCACTTCAGCCTTTAGATTTAGTTGTCCTTATTTAAAATACAATGAAAAATTAGACAAGATTTAAATTCTTGTTACAGAAGTAAGAATAAAAAGAGTCATTTTCTTAGTACTTCTTTCGTTGTAGCTATATAGAACTTTTTATGTTAACTTGCACACCACAGTGATGTTTAATTAAGCAATGCTTTAAGTATCTTGATATTGTATTTCAAGAGTACTTTTAAATTATATACAAGATGCTTAGATTGCTATAAGAAATAACTTTTGTTTTTATAAAATATTTTTCTCATTCAAATTGAATTAGTTTTCCATGCTTCGTGAGAAAAAAGGCATCAAAAAGGATGAGTATATAACTTTGAAATCTTTGATTAATAGTTGTTAACATAACATTGTCAGCCGACATGGCTATACAAGAGTGTACGTTTTAACGTAATCCTATATTGGAAATCTATTCTTATTCAACTACTAACCGTCCAACAAACTCCACTAACTACTGTTATAATTGAAGAGAGAAATTTTTTGAATTAAATATGAAATAATTTTTTTTCTTTTTAAATTGTTGAATTCATTGTTGAATTAAATTAGGTCAAATTTAATTTCCATTTGTTTTTAATTAAATAAAATAAAAAGGAAAAAAATTGCAAAAATTTCATTCAATTAACTTGCTTTAATTTAATCACATATTTGCAAACAAATTTTTTTTCATAAATAAATCTGAATATAAATATCATATTCATGTATACATATATGTAATTTATTATTTTTATGTGAAATATAAAAAATTAATAGTGTAATTATGAAATTTAAATAAAATTAATTTTGGAAGCGAAATATGAGAAATGTTTAAATGGACACAGTGCAACAGCACTGTCCAATTGGAATATCGTAAGAATTTTGAAAATAGTAAATATTAAATTCTTCTACAATTTTATTAGTGCCTCAAGAAATTATTAAAATTCTAATTATTTTTATAAAAATTTTCATAATGTATAGTGTTTTTTAATTCGTAAGTTTATATACAAAATTTTCATTACTAGAATGGTTTGATTGTTTAAATTGAAGTTTAATTTCTTTGTTATTGTCTCTTAAATAACATCGTTATTTCCAAATCTTAAAATTTGGCATCTTCTCTCATCTCTGTATTCTTTTGTGAGTATATATTTTGAATGTTGTAGCATTGCCGTAAATAATATAATTCACCATGCAAGTAATTGCATCTTAATTAATTTTCTTTAAAAGAATTCTAAATTCTTAAATAATGTACATATGTATATATATGAGTATAGATATAGAAAAAGAAAATGAATTTAAAATAATTGACTATAAAATTATTGAATATAAAATTAATAAGAAATTTAAAATAAAATTGCATACACCTTCTTTTTAGAGAAATCATTTACAATAATATTGTTCTCTTAAAATTTAATTATTCAGAAATTTTCTCTTATTTTTTAAAAGAGATTCATGTAATGCCAATAACCTATGCCGTTTTCACTTTTTATGCAATTAAATTACAATCTAATGCGTTTATTTTTAATTTCTATTTATAGAAAATATTTAATTCAGGAATTTTTCGTGTTAGTTTTTAAGTGAATTTTGCAACTTCTTATATAAACCAAAAAATATTTAAATTTCAAAAATTTAAACATTTAAAAAACAAGTTTGAAAATCTTTTGTTTCACTCCTTAATTAAATTTTTTTTTTTTGTTTGGTATATAAAGTCAAATATGTAATTATAAACTAAAGTTATAATCAAATTAAAAATATTTAAATTATTTTTAGTTTTGTAAACCCAAAAACAAAAGCAAAGTTACATTTTAACTTTTAAAGCAAATCTAAGTGGTTTCGGATTGTTATTATTTTTGTGTTTTGCTTTGTTTTTTTTTCTCCCAGATTATAAACCCTAATTTTTTCTATATTTGTGTGTAAGTATGTATATATATGCTTTTTTGTTTCAGTAATTAACATAAATTAAAATTTTTTTCATATTATATAATATTAATTTTTATACATTCGTGTATATACATATAAATATCATGTATATATGTGCAAAATATAAAATGTAAATTTGAAAAAAAAAAGTAAATTACGTGAATTAAACTAAAAAAAAAAAAAACATTTTTTTCTTCTTTTCTTTTTCTCCTTATGCATATTTTTTCTACCGGAACTTTAAAACTGCTATGTGCCACATTTTGTAATTTAACCCTCATATACTGTGCATACATCATCGTTATATTTATTCTTCCATTCACTTGATCAACCTGGCTGGGCGCATACAAAAAACAAAAAATTTCAACAACGACAAAATCTTCAACTCTCACATAAACTTAAAATGTAACCGTAAAAAAAAAAAAAAATTACAAAAATATACTCGACAACTTCGTAAAAAAAAATCCCTTGCACAACAAAAACAATAACATTATGTTAAATTAACAACACATAAATGCAACAACAACAAAAACAACCATTTGAAAAAAAAAAAAAAAAACAAAATCCTTGTGCAAAAAACAACATCAACGTATAAAATGAAATGAAAAACGAAAACACAAAAAATGAAAAACCCATCACTAAATTGGGTCCATTTTTATTTTTTCACAACACGTGTGTTTGAATGTACGTTAATACATGAAAACTATATGGAATGAATTGATAAAAAAAAATTCAACATGGTTGCAAAAATATCAAAAAAAAAAACAAAAACATTAAACATAACTTTTTTGTGCTCGTTTTCTGAATTAATTTCAAATTCGTAACAAACAAACAAAAAATGCAAATTATAATAAAAAACAACAACAAAAAAAATATAAAAGGTGTTTGCCCTGTTCTATGTTCAGCTCATGGTCATTATGGTGGCGGTATATGCCATTGTGAAGAAGGTTGGAAAGGTGCTGAATGTGATATACCATCTGGTGAATGTGAAGTACCAAGTTGTACAAATCATGGACGTTGTATTGAAGGTGAATGCCATTGCGAACGTGGCTGGAAAGGTCCATTCTGTGATCAACGTAAGTATAAAATACAGAATGTTTTTTTTTTTTTAGTTGTTGTTTTAACAATTTTTCTTTCGTTTTAACAACAACATTTTCTGTAATTTTTTTTTTTTTTTTAAAGTTACTTTTTACATTTTAATTTTTTTTCCGGATTTTTTGTTTTTTCATAATAATTTTATTTATTTTTGGTTTTTTGTTTCAAAAAAAAAATTTATTCAAAAAAATTTTTTTTCTCTGGTTTAATAATAATTTTTATTTTAAATAAGTAAGCAAATATAAAAAAAAAATTATCCTTTTCGCGTTTTTTTTCGTGTTCTTGTTGCTCTTGTAACTAAAATTTTGTGCTCTTCTATCTTACTGGCTTCAAAAATTTTCCCGTCTTTTGTTTTTGTTTTGGTTGTTAGAAAAAGATTTTTATATGCAGTGGCATGCAAATGCAATTGTATAACATTTCTTTATCTTCATCCTCATAGGGAATAATTTTATCAAAGGTTTGAAAAGGTTAGTATAAGTTATATAGAAAAACATAAATACGATTACTAACACAATCTCATATTTTGGTTTTCTAGTATAATATAAAATGTAAATTCATTTATTTTGAATATTATAGTTAAGCAAAACCGAATCAAAGTAATTTTATTATTTTAAGTTTCTAACTTTAGTTGAAAGGAACATCATATGAATTCAATTTCAATTTAAAGTACTTAAAGTATTTCGCTACTTATTCATTAGTAAGAAACTTTTAATGAGAATATTTTAGTTTAATATTAAAAATATTTTATTTCTTTAAATTTAAAAATTTGAAAACTTTATTAAAATTTTTTGATTCATAAAGAGCAAATAATTTTGAAAACAATTTTTCTCAAATTCCAATTTTTGAATATTTTTCTAGAATTATGCAAGAATTAAGGTATTTTACATTTAATCCGTAGGTTATTTCTATGTATTAAATATGAAGCATTTGATTAAATTAGGATTAAACTGATAATTTTGAGAAGTGCAGATCCTATTCGTGATGCAATTATTTGATTTTATTATATCACCTATAAAACCCATCTTAGGCATTTTAATAGCCAATTTATAAAAGCGGGTAAAAAGTTCTGAATTCCGAATTTTTATATTATTTTATGAATATAAAGCATTCTTATTTTAAAAATACTCTATTAATAACGAAGCTCAATACATTGAGCATTTTTAAATATCAGGCAAAAAGTTATTATTATTATTATTGTAAAAATTCCATGAATTCGAGCATTCGAGCTTTATCTGAAGACTAAAACTATTTCCCAAATTATTTTAACAAAATAATTCAAATAATATTACATAATTCGGTAATTACTTTACTTTAATGATAAAATTAATGCTAATAATAATTAATATCCTTTGAATCGTTCAGAAATTTTAAAATTTCAATGAATAAAAGCAGAAATTTTGAATTTTATTGTTCAAAAAATTTAATCAATAAAATTTATTATCGTGATTTCCTAAAATATTGCAAAAGAAGAAAACAGTGGAACCTTCACTTACATGAAATAAAAGGTCAAAATTTTTCCTTTTCACTTTGTTTAAAATTACCTACTTACACTGAAAGAAAAATAATTAAAAATTCTTAAAAATTTCATTTTCAAAAAAAATCAAGGACAATTTTAAATTTGCGAAATAGCTAGCTATAAAATAATAAGCATCAGCAATAATTGAAATACAACTGAAATTTAATAAAAATAAAGTTGGGTCAAACCAATGGTTTGTATTGTAGCACTTTTCCCTTCAACAACTGAAAATTCTGCTTTTAAATACAGTCTATGTATACCTATCAAACTATTAAAATTATTTTCATTCATATACAAAACTATTTCTAGAATTGCATATATTTAGGATGACGCATATATGAAATGTTTGAAATAAAGCAAAAATTAATATAAAATGGGGTTAACATAATGCTCGATTTTAAGGGTTAATTGTGTGAGTTAAGAAAAATAATTATATTTTTTAATTTCATGGAATTTACCGTTAGCTTTTTACGTTATAATATAAGGAGTCAAAAATTCAAATTTTACGAATTTTAAGAGGTGATAACTTGAGAGGGGGTGGAGATGGAAAAAAATTTTCTTCTAACGAAATGAACTAGGGTCTAGAAGAAAAATGACATCAAAAATTTGGAAAAAAAGGACTTTAGATAACGGTAAATTTGAACGGCCATTTTGTTTTTCTAAAGTTTAACTATAGTATATCGCGCTAGGGGAAGCAAGCTACTGCCTTTCTGCGTTTGCAAAATTTCAAAAATGCTTATGGTTTCATTGCAACAAATATTTAAAAAAGGCCATTTTTAGGGTTTGGGGGGGTATAACTTCTAGAGGGGGGGAGATAGGTAAAAATTTTGTTCTACGGAAATAAGTTTCTAGTGAAGATCTATGTACGTATGAAATTTCAGCTTTCTATCTTAAAGGCTGTAGAAGTTTTGTAAACAAAAAAAGTGTCCACGGACGGACGGACGGACGGACGGACAGAGTGAAACTAATAAGCACTTTTTTCAAAAAATTTTTTGGAAAAGTGCTAATAATGGCTATTAAAAGACAAATCAATTTTGATCTTACCGCAAGCATACGAATAGTATAAAATATAAGAATAAATTTCACTGATTCGAGAAGTTTGAAATTCTTTTAAAAACATTTTGCATTACTTTGCAAAAAAAATTATTATCTGTAATAGAGAAAGCAATGAATTCTCCTTGAAATATGCAATTTTAAATTAAATCCAATATATTTAAAATACCAGAATTTTATTTAATTTAATATTATCTTTCACGTTGATTATTTTATTTATTTCTTTTTTTAATTTTATTCTTATTCTTATCTACTAAGTATATTCTTTAAAATGAGGGTATTATTTTTATTGTTCTTCTATTATTCTTTTATATATATTTTTTTTAGTATTATTTCATTCAGTAAATCACACAATTTTTATGGTGATTTCAATATTATAAAAGAAAACTTTCTACAACCCCATTTTTTCTACTTTGATTCTTTAAAAACATAATAATATAGGTGATTGCATAGATCCATCATGTTCAGGTCATGGTACATGTGTTTCTGGACAATGTTATTGTAAAGCTGGGTGGCAAGGTGAAGATTGTGGTACAATTGATCAACAAGTATATCAATGTTTACCTGGTTGTTCTGAACATGGTACATATGACTTAGAAACAGGACAATGCGATTGTGAACGTCATTGGACTGGACCAGATTGTTCTCAAGGTAAGTGTAATTTTATTAAAATGAAAAATAAGAATATAGTTTACAAAAAAAAAGGAAAAGACAAAATAATAATGGAGAATAAAAAACTTAAAAAAAAAAAAAATTTTATTCAATATCCATTAGAGCATGAGTCATCGTTCTTTAAATCACCTTTACAATTTCTTAGATTATATCTGGGTATAGTTTTGTATATGACATACATATTATGTTTTAGGGAAATATTGTTGATTGAAAAGAAATCTGATAGGATAATAAAGGTTTGTATTATTATTATTATTCGAAATGGAGAAATTTCAATTGATTTGTTGTTCAAATGAAAACCATAAACGAATTGAAATTGTTCTGTTTATTTTTAAGAAAACAAAGAAGTACTTGTTCTGCACTCATTGCTCTTAAATTTTGAATATCTACTTCTATTTTTATTTTATTTTTATAAAATAATCCTTAGATTTGATTAAAAGTAAAGTAAATCATAAATCGAGATCGAATATTGCATTTCACTTAAATTAAATCTTGGAAGATTGAAAAAATTAAATTAGCAAATTTTTATCAAGTTTTTCTTTGCTTTTCTTTTTCGATCCTAAAAATGACACTTATTTGTTTTATATGCATTAAGTTTGTTTAGCAATAGATGTGTTTAAAAAGTTACCTGAGGTTGATTTTCTCCCTAAAGCTTAAAATAAGCTAAGAAAAAGAAGCACTAGTCAATTTTGTCAAACAAAAATTGTTAACGATATTTGAAATATCGTAATTATTTACGATATTTTTTAATACAAAACTGCCACCCCAAATTCAAAATTCCCAAACTTAAAAATTTTTCTTAACTCTAATTTTCTATTTTGTCTTTAGTAAATACATTAGGTAATTTCATTACCTCTGCACCTAAAATTATGCTAAAAAATTAGAAATTAAAATGCAACAATGTAATTTAATTAAGTAACAGGGTGATGCAGGGTGACCAAATAAATAACATTATTCTTAAGTATGTACATTTTATTTAATACATTTAGTAAATTTCATTCATTTTTTAGAGTTTAATTCATATTTACTGTTTCCAAAAATACATGTAATATGAGTTTTAATTTTAATGAAAATTCCGTTTCGTGCGTAATATTTGAATTAAAACTCTAAATTTTATATTCTTTCAAAACATTCTTTATCGAGAATTAATTATTGATTTAAACCATTATTTGCCCAGATTTCCAGTTAAAATATTTCAATTGATTTATATGAATATTTTTTAGGAACATTACAGACAATATCCATAGAACATTCTTTTATTATAAGAAAATTCTGTGAACTTTATCCGATTTATATAAATTCGGAAGACAACTTATATTGTAATCATTCAATTTCAGGTGCTATACTTCATTAATTAGATTATAAGTTTAAAACGGTAGAAAAGGTTAAAAAACTATATCAGATTTATTTTTAAAATCAGTAAACCTTTACTTTGCAAATCTTCCAATAAAGTCAAAAAACCTCCCAAAAAAAAACTTATAAAAGTGAAATGCAGCACTATGTACACATTAATCCTAAGTCGTTTATTATTATTTTAAATAATTAATTTACTTAATATACCATAACACATTTACCATTATACAAAACTTTAAATTAAAGTTCTAGTTTCTTTATTGTGCTTTTCCTTTAAAGTTTTTAATATTTATTAGACACAATTAAATACTGTTTAAATAACTTTATATATTGCAATATAATTTGTTTCTGACGACATATTGACCTATTCTCTTTCTCAATAATGTTAAATTGCATTTACAATATTTTATACAAAAATATTTTTTTTTGTAAATGCATATGTACACAAAAATTCTCTGTTATTTATATGATAACTTTCTCTTTAAAATAAGTATTTCATTCAAATTATAAAATAAAATACATGATATTTTAAAACTTTATGAATCTATTTATGTATAACCGAATATATATATATATATGTATGTAAGCATATTTATATATTAATAAATAAATTTTAATATATTACTTTTTTAAATAAATTGCATTCTTTATATACTTGTATCTATAATGCAGAACAAAATCTTAAATTAAATTAATAGTATACAAAATATTAAAAGCTTTAAAATTTATTTGAAACACTCACACACACTCTTTAAATTTTAAATAATTCCAATGTAAAAATGAAAATAATTTAAAATTTTTTAAATAAAATTAATTCATAAGAAATTTCCAAAAACAAAAAAAAATTCCATTATTCATTTTTACTACATAATAAAACTTATTCTAATAAATTTTAAGGAAGAAAATTTGTTTTAACCCCAATATTATGTAGCTATACACCAGTGCTGCCAAATCCGAATATTTTTATTTTTTTTTAAAATAAAATCATCATTTTAGAAATTCGAAAAAAAATTTTCTTGAACCCTTTGAGGTCTTAAATTGTAAATTAGAAAGACTACTTGCACAAACTACTTGTAAAAAGAAGTACGTATAGTAAGCGAAAATATCACGATTTCAATTCGAACTAAATCAAATACCAAAAAGGGAAACTAATGGCATTCACGATGACATAAAATGTTATAAATCATACTCTCATTTAGTTAATGCACCAAGCCGACTAATTAAGAATTAATTGTAGCGGAGAATATCAAAAATTTTCTGTCATGCATGTAGCGTTACCATGCATTGCCCATGAGAATAACTTTTTGGTTAAAATGTTTTTTTTGTAAACTTTGGAAAATATGGAAAAGAGTGTAGAAAATTTCAATTCTCAAAAACTTCAGTAGCAGTAAAAAATCTTCATATTGAAGATATTTTTATATTATGTAAAATTTAAAAATTTCAAAAAACTAATTTTGAAGTTTTGCACAAAAAATATAATCAAAACCCCTTCACTTTGAAGAAAAATCTTCACTCTTGGTAGCGCTGCTGTAGACTTATATAATTATATGTGTATAATGTATAAATAACTTTTATATGTATACAATATTGTACATAATTTATCTACCAAAAAAAAAAAAAACAATTAATTTCTTTTTCTTTCTAGTTCAATCCCAATAATTAAAAGTTATTTTTACAATACCAAAACTATGCCAAAAATAACATTAAAAAAATAAAACAGAAAAACTATAAAAAATTTGCTACCAGAAAAAAAAAACAAAAACTTTTTGCATAATCATTGATTATAAAAAGAAAAATAGTGATTTAGGTTGCAATCTTTTAAAAATTTATACTTGAAGTTTTGTCTTAAAAATAATCCCAAAAAAGAAAAAAAAAACAATAATGCGAAATATAAGAAAATGAATAAAAAATTTATTATATTCCTGTTCTTAAAAGTTGAACTTTTACTTTTGTATATTAGGGTATAAGTAGATATATGAGAAATTTTTAATACACTTTTGCAATAATAAATTAATTTTGCAAATTATGCATACCTTTAGGTAATTATTCGGGTATTACCAATGAAAAGGATAACAATTTTAATTAATTTTAAATGATAATTTTTTAAAATTAAATTTCAAAAATTTGAATTTTTTTATTGAAAACTGTTCATTTCACTTAAAGAATTGAATACGAAATTGTTGATATTTCTTTTAGCCACAAAATTTCATAAAATTCGAGCTATTTGAAGCAAAAATATTAAAAATAGAGTGCTGAATTCATTTACAGTGTCTCACAGTCAAAATGATGCAAGAAAAAAATTTTTGATTTAAATAAAAATTTGACAAAACGGTTTTAAAATTATTATTTTTTAACATTCATTCTTAGGGTACATTCAATTTTCAACAAAATAAAAAAAAATTATTTCATTCTAACAACTATAACAAAAATAATAACAAAAAACATAAAAAATGTCAATAATTCATCTCACAGTGAAAATGATGCAAAGTATTTTCATTTACAACTACAAAGCCTAGCTTCTTATTGCAAGTGATTAAATTATAAATTAATAATCTATAGATCCTTCTTTATTTTCTAAGACAGCTTTAAGTCTCTTTGGAATGGATCTAATGAGGTTGGTGGGGTAAGATGGTTCAATTTTTTGAAACTCTTCATGTATAGCTGCCTTAAGATTTCTTTTATTTGAAATTTTGTGCTTTCGAACCTCTTTTTCTAACAAACTCCACAAATTTTTAATGACATTAAGATCAGGAGACTGCGCAGGGGTTTTTATGACATGTGAGTAATTATAAAGGAGCCATGACTTTACATTATGTGCTGTGTGCTTCGGATCGTTGTTCTAGTAACACTGATAGTGTCTGCCGATTCCCAATTTTTCTACGCTGCTTGCAAGATTTTCTTTTAAAATATTCAAATACATTGTTGCATCCATATTACCTTCGATAAATTTTAGATTTCCGGTACCGGCAGATGATATACAATCCCATACGCAAACACGGCCACCACCATGTTTAACTGTTTTGTTAATGTTAGACGTTTTAAGGGCTTGATTAGGTTTTCTCTACACAGTAATCTTCCCATCTGATAAAAAAATTATAAATTTTTTCTCGTCAGCACACAGCACAGCGCTACAATATTCAAAAACTTTGTTAATGTGCTCTTTAGCAAATTGCAATCTCGATTGTAAATTTTGATTTCTCAACATAGGTCTATTTCTTGCTATTTTGTCGTGAAAATAATTACTCCTTAGGACCCTTCTTACTGTTTCAGCATTGCGTTGTTTGCCTAATTATATTTCCGCCTCAGCTGATATTTTTGGTGCACTTAACTTTGAGTTTTCTCGGACTTTCCATAATATCGACCATCCATCTGTAGAGTTGAAGATTTTTTTTTAACTGGCATTTTTGTTTACTTACTACTCTATTCTCTTTTTCATACCTTTCAATGATATGTTGGATAGTTGAGTGTGGTTTGTTTATAATTTCACTTATTTCTCTTTGGGTCTTGCCATTTCCTAAATGATGCAATATCAATTCTCTTTCTTCGAAAGTAGTGTGTTTACCCATTATGTAAAATACCCAATCACTCTATTTTTAATTAGAGCTTAACTTATTAAAACACTAAAT